GACTCCTGGAGAGTTTTAGCAACCCCGGGCTGGGCCCCACCCCAGAGGTGCTGGTGTTATTGGTCTCAGTGCAGTTTGGAGAGCAAGAGTTGTTCAAGTTCCCTACGGAATCCTGATGCACAGCCAAACTTGAAGATAACTGTGTTAATGGATTTGTGTGAATTGGAATAATATTAGCTGTCCTTTACTAAGCATCTCCTGCATACTGGGTATTTTTAGCAAATGTCTCAACCTGAGCTCCCTCCAGGAGCAGTAATTAAACGAATAAGACTGGGTGAGAGGCAATGGGGAATGGTGGAGACTGTGGTGACCTGGGGAACCACAGCCTGTCCTAAGGGGCAGCCACAACTCTATGCGGTGTTGGTCATTACATCAACAACTAATTCTGATGTTTAAAGGAGAGGGTGGGGATGGGAGGGGACCAATCCTGCCCTTTGTTTGGATGTATCAGCAGGTGGCCAGTTTGAGGTCTGGGCTTCACATCCATTATCTTTTTTCCTCGCTGCGGTATCCATGGAAGTTAGACATTATCACTCTTTTTTGAGATGAGGAAACAGAGATGAAGTGGTTTACTCAAGGGTGCTGTCGCTGGCAGAATAAGGACCCCTCAAAGAGGACCCTGTCTTCATCCCTATAATCTGTGATATGTCCCCTGGCAAGGGCAATTAAGGTTGGGGATGTAATTAAGGCAACTAATCAGCCGGCTTTCAGATAGGGACATTATCCTGGGTTATCAAGATGGATCCGTCACAAAAGTCCTTTAAACGTGGAAGAGGGAGGTGAAGAGTCGGTGTCAGAATAAGAAAAGCCGGCCTTTCTTGACTTTCAAGATTGAAGGAGAGGCCACACTCCAGGCAATGTGGGCGGCCTCTAGACACCAAAAAAGGCAAGGCGATGAGTCTCCCCTGGAGCCCCCAGAAGGAACGCAGCCCTAAGGACACCTTAATTTTAGCGCAGCGACAGCCGTTTCAGATGCCTGGCCTCCAGAACTGTAAGAGGACAAACATGTGATGTCCTCTTTAAGCCACTAAAGTGTGGCTCTGGCTCCAGCTGTGGGCTCCGTGTGTGCCCTGCATAAGCCGTGGGCTCCATTTGGGCCCCGTGTATGTGACCGGCCGTGGCAGGTGGCAGGTGAGGGGCAGGGAAGGAGTCTCTGGTTTCTCCCAGGTGTGCACTTGCTGTGGAGAAAAGTTCTGAAAAGTGGCAACTTTTACCCTTTTACAGTCCATCTGAGATGGCTTTGACCTTGGACTTCACCACCCCCTCGTACGGTGGATGCCTTGTTCACAGCTCAGTCCTCTGTTACCCCATGTGACCCTTAAACCACTTGCAGTCACGGTGGGATTATCCCCTGTCTGTAGACAGAAGTAATGATAATAATTGAAAACATTCCCTCAGCATGTACTAAGTACCAGGGTCTGTGCCAAGCAGATTTATCCTATTATCTCATTTTATAATCTCAAGAGTCCCAGAGGTGGCCATTCTTACAGGCAGGGAAACTGAGGCACTGAGAGGTTCAGCGCCCCGTCTCTCGGGTGAGGAAATGCAGCTCAGAGGCGGGAACTAGTTTGGCACCCCCGACCAACTGGAGGCGGTAGCTGGAATCTGAGGCCAGGCCGGCCTTCCTCAGTCTATGCTCTTTCTTCCATCATCTGATTAAACAATAATTCCAGATTTTTAAATCCCCCCCAAACACCACCTTCCTTACTGCCAGCGTGCTGAGCACATGGAGGTGGGAGAAGTGAGGAAAAACTCAGTTTCTCCCGGCGGAGGCCGGTTACACGGGTAGGTGTCCCTGCAAAGCCACTTTGCAGAGAGGCACTTCAGTCCTGAAAGATGACTGCTCTGTGTCTAAATCAGATTTAGAAAGCCCCACGCTGTGAGTTGTGCTACTTAGAAATATTGTGCATTATTAGGTTGCTTTTGCCATTTGGTAAGGAATTTAAATCCCCCATCAAGTAAATGAATTGCTACTAGTTTAAAGGAACGGTCTTGAATTTCCACTTCTTTCTAAATAAAGCCTCAGGGGGACACAAGGGACACGTGGAAGTGACAGGTTAATGTTTTTTTGTGCTCGTAAAATTCCGGGTCGTATGCAAATGAGGACAAACATGATAATATGGATGTCTACTTAAACTCACTGCAAGCGTGCCATTTTTTAACTCACTTTAAAAGTCAAATACATTTAAAAAAACAACAAACCACCACGATGGCAAGTGGAAAGCACTCCCACTGGCCAAACACTGTAATAATAATCATCATTATCGTCAATGATATTTTGAGCATTTCCTCAGTGGGGGGCACTGCTGGAATGCTTTCCAAACTGTGCGACACACTCACCCTCCTTGGTGTCACCCTGTGAAGCTGGTACCATTATTTCCATCTTGCAGATGAGGAAACAGAGGTTGAATCCTTCTTTCAGTTTGTTCACAAGAGGGGTGTCTGCTGAAGACATGAAACTTACTTTAACCCATGGTTTTGATGTGCCAACACCCCCCCCCACTCTCGAGTGCCCAGCACACAGTAGGTGTTCAGTGAACACCTGTTGAATAAATGAATGAGTGAATGAATGATGCAAATGCAGAAAGCAAACTCAGATTCGAAGTCCAGTATAGCCTTGTCTCCCCGCCGATGGACCTGAGGGCCGATGGAGATTGGTCTTCTGTCTTTGGTCTTAACAGTGATGTGTCCATTTTAAGGGGCTGCTGCTCTGAGCCTCCTTCCTCATCTACAAAATGGGGATGCCAGTAGGAAGTGTGCACGCTGCACCTGCCTCAGGGGGACGTTTCCAGGATGAAGTGAGCTGACATTGTGGAGTATGAGAACTGTGCTTGGCACAGAGCAGTGTTAATAACAACAATGCTACTTATTGTCGTGATCTATAGTATCTATTTCTCTATATATCATTACTATTTATGACACGTGATCCTGGTTTTCCATTTACTGTAGTGTTGTAAAGTTTTATTTAAAACTAAGCATATTTGATTGTATAAAGTAAATTGAAAATAAGTCAGTGTCCGCACGGGTGGTATCCAGGTACAGTCCAAATCCTGGGGTGGTATTTGAACGATGGAGTAACACGACCATGGCGGGGAGGTAATTCAATCTGGGGCAGCTTCTGTGACCATCCCTTGGTCACCTGGGGACAGGCACCACTGCCTCCCTTGGGACCTGGGGCGTGGGCGTTGAGGGGCACAGGCTCTGTGCAGGAGACTTGAAGAGGCTTTGTGAGGACCCCGGATGCGGATGTGCTGCCATCCGGGCTTTCCCACCTTGCCTGCTCTGAGTACACAGCCTCCACCTCAGACCCGGGCTGGTATTTTTAGCACAGACGAACCCTGCACCGCCTCCCACACTCTGACCAAATTTAGAAATCTCAAGAGGTCTTTGCACTTCCATGCCCCCAGTAGGAGCAATGGATGGAAAGGCCCCCAGCTGCCAGTCCAGCCAGAGCCAACCCTGACATTTGCGGGACTCTGCCTGCTGACTGGTGGGGAAGACCAAGATTTATTGCACAGTGAGAAAAAACCAGTTGCAGAATCACGTGTGTGGTCTGGGTCTACTTCTGCAAAAGCAACCCCCAACCCCCCACCATGCATGGGTGTCTGGGACTGCACAGCCAGGAGCTGGGCGTGGGAGGAACCCTGTTGGGCTGCTAACAATGGGGGTGGGAGTGGGGAGGTGGGAGGGTGGGCCGAGAGATGAGGAACTCCACCTTTATGCAAAGCTTTATATTTACTGTTCAAAACAGGTGTGTATGACTTCTTAAATCTGAAAATCTTGAACAGCAAAAAGTTGATATCCTGAGATTGAAAAGCCTCAAACCACATTGCTCATAGGGGATTCCACTGTTAACCAAGGGCCTCTGAAGCTGTGTGTGGTGGCCCTTCACTGTTTCTGAGAATTGGACATCCACCCTGTCTTCCCTAGTGTCACTCAGATGTTCCGAGAACATTATTGCTCCCTACTGGGTGCTGACTCCACCCCCAGCCCGAAAGGGGGGTGGCCAGGAGTAGCCAATGAGAGCTCCCACCTCACTTTTTCAGGGCTGGATCTGGCTGCCAGCAGGGGTGGGGGCGGGTTATTGTGGACATTGTTGGAAACAACGACCCTTTGCTGAAGAGCTGCTGTGGAACCTTCTGTCATATGAACCTGTTGGCCGAGCTTGTGAGGCGTGTCCGACTCGGGATTGGGTCTCTGCGAGCCAAGGAGACAGCACACCTATGAACTCACACAAGCTGATGGCTGAATTGTCAGGAATTTTGCATATCGGTTGTTAAACATGGCCAGTATTAAAATTAAATTATATACTTATAATTAAATGAATTATATTAAAAACAAAGGTAATAAGTACTCAGAACTTATCACTCCCTAGTTACTTGACTACACTGTACTGTTATCCATGCCCTTGGGGATGTTTACTTGCATTGTTACTGTACAGTGGAAATGCTGTGTGGTGGTGTGCACTTGTGTGTCTCCTTCCAACTCCACACAGCGAGCCACCCTGGTAATTTGAAACCCACCATGGTGGGAGTAGTTACACCATGGAAATTGGCAAATGCTACAGATAGAGCTCCCCCACCCAAAGCTGTTGTTAAACATTTACTAGCATGCCTTTGAATGGAGGCCTGATAACACACGCAGGGTCCCTTCTGTTCTTCAGGAATCCCAAGAAATAGAAAGGAGCGATTGTAAGCATCTGTGGGGCAAAAACCATACTTTATCTGTCTTGGTTTCCCCAGCATCTAGCAAGGGCATTCAGTTTATGAATGTTGAGTGACTTGAGGAAATCGGGGTCCAGGAAGTCTCACCTAGTGGTGGGGTAGGGACCTGAGCATAGCTTTTATTTTACTCCAGATCCCACTTAAGAAAGAATAGATAACCAGAATAATCCTATATTTATTAAAGAAGTGGAATTCACAGTTAAAGCTTTCTAACAAAGAAAACACCAGACCAGGTGGCTTCACTGGTAAATACTAACATGCAAGGAAGAAATAATCCTAATTCTATACAAACTCTTCTAGAAAACAGAAGAAGAGGGAACACTTCCCAACCCATTTTACGAGGCTAGCATTACCCTAATACCAAAGATATTACAAGAAAAGAAAACGGTAGACCAATATTGCTAGTGACCATCAATGAAAGAACCCTCAACAAAATATCATCAAATTCAAACCCAGTAAAATATAAAAAGGATAATACATCATGACTAAGTAAATTTTATCCTGGAATGCAAGGCTGGTTCAACAATTAGAAAATCAGTCATTGTAGTGACTATCAAAAAAGCATATAATCATCTTTTTTTTAATTTTTAGTTTCAGGTGTACAGAACAATGCAATAGTTATCCTTTTTGCATATAATCATCTTAATGCAGAAAAAGCATTTGACAAAATTCAACATCCATTCATGAAGAATTTTCAGCAAACTGGTAATAAAAAGAAATTTCCTCAACCCAATAAAGGGCATGTACAAAAAACCTGCAATGAACATCAGACTTAACAGCAAAAACTCAATGTTCTTTCCCTAGATTGGGAACAAGGCAAAGATGTCCCTTCTCACCACTCCTATTCAACATCATACTGGAGGCCCTCGCTAGTGCAATATGGCAAGAAAATAAAAACAGATAGATTGGAGAGGGAAAAATAATATTGTCTCTATTTACAGATTGCATGATTATCTCTACAGAAAACACCAAGGAACCTACGAACTACCAGAACTGATGACAAGTGAGTTTAGCAAGATTGCAGGACACAAGATTAATATACAAAACTCAATTGTGTTACTCTATACTAGCAATGAGCAATAGGAAATAAAAATTTTAAAAACAGTACTATTTACCAATAGTACACCCCTGGGGGGAAAAAAAACCATGGAAAACTTTGGTATAAACCCAACATCTGTACATGATCTGTATGCTGAAAATTGCAAAACAAGGATGAAAGAAATCAAAGAAGACCTAAATAAATAGATATACTGTACCCTGTATTCACAGATTGGAAGATTCAGTGTTGTTAAAACATTAAATTCTTCCCAAACGATCTATAACTTCTTCCCTCTCTCCAAGCCCAACGATGTTTTTTTTGTATAAGTCAACAAGTGTATTTGAAAGTTTATATAGAGAGGCAAAAGACCTAGAATAACCAAAACAATTTTGGAAAAGAACAAAGTTGGAGGACTCACATTTTCTGATTCGGATGCTAAAGCTACAGTAATGAAGACAGTGTGGCTGATGAAAGGCTGGATCGGTGCAACAGAGTGGCATCCAGAAACAGAGCCCCACACGTGTGGCCAATCTACTTTCAACACAGCTTCAAAGGGAATTAGATGGACAAAGGATGTTTTCTCAATAAATGGCACTGGAACAATTGTCATCCACATGCAAAAAAATGAACCTCAACCCACACCTTGATCATAAACAAAATTGGATTCAAAATGGATCACAGACTTAAATGCAAAACATAAAATTATAAAACTTCTAGAAGTAGACCTAGGGAAAAAATCTTGCGATTTGAGTTATGCAAAGATTTCTTATATATGACACTAAAAGAATGATTCATCAAGGGGGGGAAAAAAGGGTAAATTAGATTTCATCAAACCTTTTCAAAAATCTGCTCTTTGAAAATCTGTTAAGAGAATGAAAAGATAAGACACATACTGGGAGAAAATATTTGCAAAACATGTCTGATAAGGAACTTGTGTTTGTGGGTGAAGAGGGGAAGGGATTAAGAAGTACCAACTGGTAGTTACAAAATAGTCATGGGATGTAAAGTACAGCCTAAGGAATATAGTCAATGGTATGGTAATAACTATATACAGTGCCAGGTGGGTACTTGATTTATCAGGGTGATTACTTCATAAGTTATATAGATGTCTAATGACTGTGTTATACAACTGAAACAAATACAAAATTGTATGTCAACTGTAATTGAAAAATAAAAAAATATTAAAAAAGAACTTGTGTCTGGAATCTATAAATAACTTTCACACAACCCAATTTAAAAAATGGTTAAAAGATTTGACCAGACATTTCATCAGAGAAGATATGCAGATGGCAAACAAGCCCATGGAAAAATTTTCGTAGTCACTAGTTATTAGTAAAACGAAAATTAAAACCACAATGAGATATCACCACACACCTACTAGGACAGCTAAAAACAAAACAAAACAAAACAAAACAATACCATGTGGTAGTGGGTATGTGGGGTAGCTGGAACGCTCAGACCCGGCTGGTGGGAGCACAGAATGGTACATGCACTCTGGGGACAGGTTTGGCAGTTTCTTGTAAAGTTAAACCTATATCTACTTTATGACCCAGAAATCTCACCTCCAGAGCAATGAAGATATAGGTTTGCACAAAGCCTGTACACACATGTTTATGACAGCTTTACTCATAATCTTCACCAAGTGGGGACAACTCAAATGTCCTTGAGCTGGATAAACAAGCTGTAGAGTGTTCATATGATGGGATATTTCTCTGCAATAAAATGAACAAGTGAACCACAAAACAGCAGGACTAAATCTCAAAGTCATTATGTTGAGTGAAAAAAACCAGACTCAAATACATAGTGTGTGATTCCTTCTAGATGTTCTAGAAATGACAACTATAGGGACGTAAAGAAACCAGTGATTGCTACGGGCTGGGCGTAGGAGCACAGTGGGATTTCGAGTTGATGGAGACATCTGTGTCTTGATTGGGGTGATGGGTGCTTGATCATTCATTTATCAGAACTTGTAGAATTGTACCCTTAAAAAGGGGGGATTTTGCTGTAAGTTATACCTCAAAAAATTTAAAAATGTTTAAAGAAAAGAAAAAAAGATGCATTGTTGGAAAATAGCACTAAGAAGAATTGCAATACCCATTTCACTTAGATAAGAAGTTGTGATAAGTAAACTAATTTTCATTTGGCCAACATTTGAAGGCCCCACCTTCCCATGACTCATTTCTGATTCTTCATGGAATTAACAAAAAAAATGAGGAAGCATTTATCTGTACCCATCCATCCATCCATCCATCCATCCATCCATCCATCCATCCATCCATCCATCCGTGCTGAGATTATCCTACCTGTCACAATAAATGGTAAGAATCATTTATAAGAAGAACCAGCTGTGCTTATTCTGAGCTGCGTCTGTACACTCAAAGCAGAATGTTACCTTGACCTAGGACACAGGTATGCAAAGTCAGACACGTGCATTTTCAAACGGTCCGTACTCTGCATGACACAGCTACTGTCAGCCTGGACTAGGAACTCCTATACCATCAGCAGGTCCTCAGTCTTCTTGCTGTGTTTTCCCCTTGTCACGGGTTATGCTCTGCTACTGTAACACAGCTGTCATGTTGGCTCCCTGCGTACCTGAGGGTATGACCTCGGTGCCAAACCATGGAGGAGGCCTGGCGAATTCCACAACACGGGTCATGTGTCACTTCCAGAGGCTCTGCCTTCTGCCATTCCCTCTGGAACAAACACCAGTGGACAGGCCAACACAGAGAGGCTGAGTCACTCTTTGGGGTAGAACCACCCAGAGTGAAATGCTTAGGGCTGGCTACTAAAAGCATCTTTAGTTTTTCCAACATTTGTGCAAGTAAGGAAGAAACCAGCCTGGAGACCAGGTGGCCCCCAGAGCTGGCTTTGCAACAAAACTGGAAAATGCTGGTTCTGTGAATTATGCTGATTGTCAGGTGCCTCCCTCAAGATTCTAATTCTGTGGGCCTGGGGGTCCAGGGGCCTGTATTTTTCACATGCTTCCCTAGGTAATTCCAACGCCCGGAGAGAACTCTGAACTATGGTTGTCGGGAGGTCTCCAAGAAGAGGGAATTTCCCCCAAGAGGATGGGACCAGATGACGGCCAGGTGGGTTGGGTGGTGGGATGATTCAGGAGGAGGAACCCCGCTGGCCCAGGCAGGTGGAGTGACCAGGTGACCAGCCAGCACAATAAGAAGTGCACAACCAAATGACAGGTGACGCTGCCCTGACAGGAGCAGGAGGCAGCCCAGAGGACCGGGTGCTGCTTGTAGACAACGTGACCGACGCTGATTGATTTAAAATAATGTAATTCATTGTCTAGCACGCTATTTTCCGTTATTACTTTACTGATCCTCATAGGTCAGGCCTTGGGCTGTAATTATAATTATCAGGATGAGTCTTTTAATCAGCGACCTTTGAACTCATATACAAACTGTCACACTCCATGAACGGGCAACGACAGCAGCGTGCCCTGCAGCTCATTTGGCTGCTCCTAAGAGGAACATTTCAGCAGGAGTGCTCCTTGCAGCCTTCCTGTATAAGTCCCCCTGTGGCCGGCTTCCAGCCATCAGGGTGTTCAATTAAGAGGGTTTTTTAAACTGCAGTTTTTGTCTCAACAAGCACGGTGAGCATCATGTATGGTATTTTATCTGCAACTGCTGAGGAGACAATAAGCATGTGTGTCTTTTGAAAACCTAAATTGTGCCTACCATAAAAGACAGCGATTTAAAAGTCACGAGGCTCATAACCACATCCATGCTTTTGGAAATGATACAAAAACTACTCAAGTAGCATCATAAACTGGGCTGCGCTTAAAATCTGTGTTTTGTCTGATGCACCCAATTAAAAATAAACGGCAATAAAAGTTCGATCGGGAAAGTGTAGAAATAGTCGGCTAGTTAAGCCAAATGTCCTTACGCTTTAACCGAGCATGTTGAAGTATGAATAACACTGTCCACTAATGACTGGTAGTCATAAATTGAGGGGCTATTCAGTAAGATTATCAATGGTTATAAAAAAATGTAACATGTACGCTGGAAATGACCTCTGGAAATTCTTGCCATTTGCAAAAGGTAGGCCGTCCAACTTTATGATATAAGCTGCTTCCGTCCGTCAGGACCAACCCTTTCAGTGATGGAATCCAACAATAGAGACGTCAGTCAAGTCTTAGGTTTGTTTAGAAAGCATCCTTTATACAGTAAAACTGTTGTCAAACAATGTTGTAATTTAAACACCCTCCCTCCAAAACAGAGACGTTCAATTGTGCAAGAGGCGTGCATTCCTGAATGATTCCCTGCTCCATCTCAAAAGCATTTGAAGCTGATGCGTTCCAAAGGTAGCTCACCCCCCAAGCATTCTGAAACTCGGAGCCACACAAGTGTCACTTCCAGGTTTTGTACAGGCCCCTTTCTTAGCTATGTCAAGTGCAAGAAATCCTCCTGCTACTATTAAAGGCAGACTGCATTTTATTTATCTTTCTGTACAGTTGAAGCTGATGAAACAAACTGCCAGGCTGTTACAACTTGGCGTTCTTGTCACAGTCTGTCTCCATGTCCCGGGTGGGGTGGGGGTGGGGTGTACTGCAGGGAACTGTTTGGAGCAGAAGGGGTGGCAGGTGAGAACGTGTGACCCAGGAGGGTGCGTGTTCTAGCCTNGAGGAGGGGGAACAGCTGCCCTCTAGTGGGAACTGTTGTCATTGCTCTCTCACAAATCAAATACATTAATAATGCCCTTAAGGAACAAATGAGTTTCTCCAGGTATCTGGTGGGAGTCTGGACACATAACTGAATTGAAGCTGATCACCTGAATTTTACTCTCATCCAGGTGTCATAGATGCAAAAACGCCACAAATTTCTTATAGAAGACTGTTTATGAGGAGGTTTTGATGGTGTTTATAGATGGTGTTTCAAACATGCTTCTTATATCTCTGTCCTTTTAAAATTAAAACAATTTTAATTATAGTAAAATACATATGAAATTTAGCATCTTACTCATTTCTAAGTGTACTGTTCAGTGGTGTTAAGTATATTCAGACTTGTTCAACCACCATCCATCTCCAGAACTCTTGCATCTGTCCCCACGAAACAACTCCCCACACTCTGCTCCCTCAGCCCCTGGTCACCGCCATTCAATTTTCTGTTTCTGTGAATTTGACTGACTTAAGTCCCTCATACAAGTGGAATCATGCATTTGTTTTTTTTTGGCGACTGTCTGATTTTGCGTAGCCTAATGTACTCAGGGTTCACCCATGTTGTAGCGTGTCTGAGTATTTCCTTCCTTCTAAGACTGAAGAACAAACCACATTTTGTTTACCCATCCAGCCATTCATGTACCTGTGAGTTGCTTCCACCTTTTGGCTGTTGTGTATACGGCTGCTGTGAACATGGATGCGCAAGTATTTCTTCAAGACCCTGCTTTCAATTCTTTTGGGTATGAGATTGTTGGGTCACATGGTAGCTCTAGTTTTAATCTCTTCGAAGAGCCACCCTACTGTTTTCCAGAGTGGCTGCACCATTTTCCATTCCCACCAATGGTGTACAAGGGTTCCAATTTCCCCCCATCCTCACCAGGCAAACAAGACATTTTTAAGAACATTCTTCACATATAACAAAGATAAAAATTTTAAGTCGTTTTATTGAGTTATGCAAAACATCTTTAAACAATAGTCTAAGAATAAGAAACCATTACAAAAGTTCAAATAGTCACAATGACAGCCTATAACAGACCATGGCCTTGAGGTCTCACTATGTGAATTCAGTCATTTGCTGCCATGAAAAGAATATAACGCCCTTCCTGCTGGGAAATTGCTTCCACGTGTTTGTCGTATCCAGGGCTTCTGGGTTTGGGGTATTTTTAATAACAGTTCAGCGTTTTAAGAATCTGAATTTAGTTAACTTGGCGGGAGAAATTCTTTCTCAATGTAGATATATGTCAAATCGCCATGATGTACACTTTAATATCTTATAATTTTATGTGTCAATTATACCTCAATAAAGCTGAAAAAAAAAGAATTTGAATTTAGGGCCTATCTTTGATTTTAAAATAGGGGGGGAAGTTCACAGTGAAAGCAAGTGCTGAGCTAGGAAGAAGAATACAGCTCATTAGAAAGATTGGTACTAGTTAGTTTTAAGGACTAAAAGAGACATTTCACATGCTGCTCTAAGGTGGAAAAAAATGTCTTCAATTGGTAGAAAGAGAAATACTCACTAATTATGGGGTGTTATAAAAAAGTACAACTTCTTTACAAGTACACGTTTTCATTATCAGATTTTTATGTTTCTTCTTGCCCTGCCAAGTATTTTTTAAAACATAAGCAAAATTATTTTAGCAAAACAAAAGGGTGATGAACTGCTATTCTAATAAGCAGTAGTGGAATGTAACTGGGGGGTTTCCTACCTGCCAAAGAATATAATTAAGAAAGAATACAAAATCTAAAAGTAAACTTTGCTCATATACCAAAGTAAAATATGTTACTCAATATTTTCTTGTCTAATCTAGAGCTTTTCATCTTCTCAGTTTTTCTATTTTTGTGGTATAACATTAAGGTCTTTTGCACTGAATTCAGAACTAATTAGAAGTATTTTGAGGACTTTAGATTTTATGGAAAATTCATTTATGTAAAAGAGGATATAACATTAGTATTTTATGTTTAAAAATCACAATATTAGAAATATCAGGGGTGTGTACAATTCAACATAAGATTTCCCACCTTTGACTGTTTGCTGAAGCACTAAGTAGCCTATACTACGATGAAAATAAGTATTATCCCCAAATCATTGCTCATTCATGTGGGGCCACCTTGCCAGAATCGAGCGAATGAATTCATAAGTTTGAGGGTTTTGTCCTCCAATTCAAGATGTGGGCCCTTTATTAAATACCTGCAATGTTTTTTTTTGTGATAAAAATTGTTTTTTTAAAATAACCACTCAAAAATTGGTAAACAATTCTAGGCACTCCCTGAAGCTTTGGATAAAATTGTGACCATCCATTGCCATGAACTTAATTGTTTCAAAGAAGATGCTAAGAGTTTCTAACTTGCTTTAAGAATTCCGGGCTACAAGCATGAAACCTGAACCTCCCTCACTTATCCAACATGTTAAGGATCATTTCACAGCTCATGTATTCCTCCAGGTCCTCGATGCCCGCCACGGTTTCTCCACAGTCCACCGGCATCACCTCTCCTGGGCACTGCTCTCCCTTCACTGGAACGGCCTCCTCAGCAGCAGCTTCTTGGGGGCGGGGGGGGGAGGGAGAGAAAGCACAGGGTTGGCACATTTAAAATACAGCCAAGAAATCAGTGCCAATTTATTTTGGAAACGATCACTTAATTTTGCACTTAGCAGCAGACATTTTAGAAAACAATCGTTCCAGGAATAAAGCAGGACCAATGTTCTGATTTCCATTCTGCTTTATGTCAGGGTTTCTCAGCCTCAGCTCTACAGACATTTAGGGCTGGGTCATTCTGTTGTGGGGCTTTTCTAAAAAAGACCCAAACACCCATTCAGGTGTCAAGAGGGAGCTTTTAGATGCCTAATCAGCTGGTAAGTCATACATTTATGTAGCCGTTTCAGGATTTGTCCCACTTAGAGCATGCGGTCCAGGTGACCTGGCCTTGGGCTAGGGGTAGGATTTCACCTATTTATCTTCTCCAGTAAACGACTGTGCCTGTAGTGGGCTGAACCGTAGCCCCGAGAGACAGGTCCATATCCTAGCCCCCTAAGCTTGCATGACCTTATGTGAAATCAGGGTCTTTGAAGATATAATTAAGGATCTCGAGATGACTTTATGAGACAGGAAAGGTAAAGTCACAGACACAGAGGAGAAGCCACACGAAGACAGAGGCAGAGATTGGGGTGGCGAAGCCACAAGCCAAGGGCTATGAAAATGTCCCCCTAGGAGCCGATGTGGTGGGGGGTGTGGACACCGCCTGGGGCACCCCACTCACTTTCCTACTTCGTCCTCACTGTACTCCTGAGTGGTGGGTAAGTAACCACGCCCACTTCACCAATAACCCAAATGGGCGAAATGAAGTTCAAAACCTGCCCTCGAGGGAGGCTGTGGCCGCTGAGCTGGGCTTGGGGCAGAGTGCATTTCGGGGTCTAGCATTTAAAGTTTCTGGGTATGTCCCCTGCACAGGAACACTTAACACCCAGGAAAGTTTATCACGAGAAAAATCACTGTCAAAACCCAATTCGTTTGAAATGAGATACCGTCTCCCTTTACTGCCTCTTTCGGGATGGCCGGCTTCCTCTTTTTCATTCTTTTTCCTTTTCCTGAAGCGGTCGACTTTTTTTGCCCAGAGTTGCACTTCTCTAAGTGTTTCCGCATAATATTCTGTCAGGGAAATGACACAGAACACAGAATGAAAGTTATCATCACTGAAGGACTGTCATTTAAAAATGCATGATTAAAGACATGGGCTGTGGAAAACTGGGGGTGCGTGTACCTTTCATAATCTTCTACAAAAAAGATGAGTTTTTAGAGGTGAAACTTCCTGTCGTGTTTAGGTCTAGCCAAGAGCTAGCTTATCTTAAATATGTCTTTATTACAGAAGTCAATAAGACAAAACTTATTTTTCTAGGATGCATCTCCTCTTCAAAGCGAGGCTTGATGTTAAACCGGGAGATTCAATGTACCAGTCGATTTTATGAAAATCAATAATATACCAAGAGAATTTACTGCCCTGCCACTTTCTTTCCTGACCTGCTAGGGAGTCATGAAAACCGTGTATGACATTTGGAATTCAAATGGCAAGTCACAGATTTCCTAGTCAAGCCTGCCAGCAATATATTTGTATCTATGAACACTGAGGAGGATTTCAAACCAAGTTAGGAAATTTTACCATTTGAACAGTTCATATGCTAAAGTAAGATAGTGGTGACGTGTCATTAGAGTGGCTGATTATATAAAACATCCCCCCTGTCCATCTGACTTCAGTCTGGGGCTCAGCAGGATACGATTCACATGTAAGCGGAGGGAGAATATTACAGGTTATTTCAACTTCTTCCATTTTATGCTTATCCGTAGGGGATGGCAAACTACGGCCTAGACCGCCAACTGTTTTTGTAAAGCACGTGGTTTGGCACAAGCCGCGTTCCTTCATTTATGACTTGTCGCCTGTGGTTACCTTTTTTGCTACAACCCCAGGCGTGAGTAGCTGGGGCAGAAACTGTCTGGCCTGAGCAGCTGAAAATATTCACTATCTATCTGGCTCTTTACAGAAAAACATTTGCCAACCCCTGGTTTCCATGACGACTATGTACAAACGAAGCCTGCTGGGGTCAAGGATTGCTCTGAGGATTTCAGAGCAAAGCTCCCTTCCCCAAAAAGTGCATGTGCATCAACGTACCCAACAATCTCCCCTCCAGCTTCACGAAGTTCATGGTTAACAACTGCTGACGTCAGTTCTGAGTTAACCAACAAAACCAAATACACATCCAACTTTGAAAAAAATAAGTGGAGTAAATCTGTAGTTTGGTTTCGTATCTGAAAAGTCATCGCCGTATCCGAGGTCATCTAGATTTTTTTCCTATGTTATCTCCTAAGGAGTTTTCTAAGTTTTGTTGTTTTATGCTTAGGTCTGTGGTCCATTTTCAGTTCACTTTCGTGAAGGGTGTAAGGTCTGTGTCTAGATTTATTTTGTGTGGCTGTCCGGTTGTTCCAGCTCCAGCCGTTGAAAAGGTGATCTTCTCTCCATTGTGTTGCCTTGGTTCCTCTGTCAAACATCAGCTGACTCCTCTGTTTATGGGGGTCAATTTCTGGGCTCTCTGTTCTGTTCCAGGGTCTGCTCACTTTGCGGCTGTTACGAATAATGCTGCTTTGAATATTTGTGTGCATGTTTCTGTGTGGTCCCACATTTCCAGTTCTTTTGGGTATGTGCCTAAGAGAAGAACTACTGGGACATACGGTAGCTTTAGGTTTAACTGTTTGAGAAACTGCCAGGCTGTTTCCCAAGGCAGGTTCACGGTTTTAAAATCCCACCGGCAACCTCTGAGGGCTCCGATTTTTCTACATCTTTTATTACCTGTCTCCTTTCATCGTGGCTGCCCCAATGGCTGGTTCTAGGGGTGTCTCACTGTGAGTTTGATTTGCATGTCCCTAGTGACTAATGCTGCCAGGGGTCTCTCATGAGCTTATTAGCCATTTGTGCATCTTCTTTGGAGAAATGTCTATTTCGATCATTTGCCTGTTCTGAATTGCGTGTTTGTCTTCTCATTATCGAGTTACAAGAGTGCTTTACATATTCCAGATGTGCTTTCTTGTTTTTCACACTGAAGGGCAGCTTCTTTACAACGTTAACTCTTTACAATGTTAACTCAGCATGAATGCTACTGTTTTTGGAGCGTCGCCACCACTTTTATTTGACATTTTGAACGAACAGCCCTGACACTCCAGAGTTCGCCCACTATGCGACCCCAAACCACAACTACCCTACCATTTTAAGAGAAAAGATGGAGCCTTCCCCAGAGAAATGGTCAGCCTCAGGTAATTCAAAACTTTTTAAAAGTTAGACTGGAGCATACACTGTGTTGGGACCTAGCTACTCATTTGTGGTGGTTTTCAAATGTCCACAAATTCTCTGACGCTCCTCCTTTCAGAAGAAACTTCATGTCCCACCCCTCGAGTATAGGCTGGACTTAATGATTTCTTCGTAATGAAGAGAAATAATGTTATCGCTTTTAAGGCCAGTTGACAAAAGGCACCGTGGCTTCTTCCGTGCACACTCGAGGGGCCCAACGGAGAGGTCCACGTGCTGAGGAACTGAAGCCTCCTGCCAACAGCCATCGAGGGCACCGTCTTGGAAACGGCCCGTCCAGCCCAGGCCAGTCATCAGGTGGTGCAGCCCCAGCCGACACCCTGATGCAACCTCATGAGGGACCCGGAGCCAGAACCGCCCAACCAAGCTACTCCCAAACTCCTGCTCCACCAAACATGTTAGATAATAAATGCTTGTCCTTTTAAGTTCTGAGGTAGTTTGTTGTGCAGCGACAGGTAGTTAATACAACACCTAAAAAGAATGAAACTGGAGGGTAAATGCGTTTCTTAGCACAGTACCCACAGCACTCTACTAAGGACATCTATGAAACATTTTGAAAATTGCATTCTCTCTGTGTAGTAGCCTAAATCTAATCCACAGGAACAATTTTAAAATGTTACACGAAAATCAAGGGCTCTCTTGTCTGTAGATTTTTTTTTTGGTGTGTGTGTGGGGGGGGAGTCTGAGAGCTCTCTAAAACAATCTGCAAGGTTTTGTTTGTAGGATTGTCTTCTTTCGCGGATGGGGAGACCACCCTTTTATTAGATTTTCCAGAGTTTTGTGATGACAAGAAACTAATAACCATTTCCCTAAGGCATGGCAGATGCTATCCTAAGTCCTGGCAACTTTCTATAATCGGGTTTAAACTCCCCTAGTATGGCACTGAGCCTGCGAGATAAAGGGACCTTTTCAAGGGGGCTTTCTGGTGACTTAAGTAAGCTTACCGAGCGGGAAAAGGCTTTGCCACACTTGGGGCACTCGTAAACAGTTGGAATGAAATCTGTATCATGGTGTTTCTTGAGGTGAGCATTTAGAAGTTGCTTCTGTCGGAAACGTTTATTGCAGGAGTGGCAGACAAATGGTTTCTCTCCAGTGTGGGTACGAATGTGAATTGTCATATGACGTTCCTGAGAGGGACAGGGCAGAAAATAAACAGCTTAGCTATTTACAGGGTTTTGTTTTTTTTAATCATATTCCATTTTTTTTCCTTCCCAAAGATGAGCGCACTATTAAGAAAAATCACAGCAAACGCATTCTCACCACAGCATGCTTATGGTAGGAGCACCGACTGGCTGTCTACGAAACACAGTCCCCGCCATCATGTTACAAAATCCTCACAATTGGGCCGGCCAAGTGGCGCACTGGTTAAGAGCTGGCTTGGGATGCTAGGGGGCCCTGGTTGAGATCCCACATATGAGGGCCAGTGACATTGCCCTCTACAGCTAAGATGCTGAACAACAGCTCAACTTGGAGCTGGGCTGCCGTGACGTAGGCTGCAGCCCCTACTGCAGTGGGTTGCCATGGGCTACCGTATGTAGCCAGCAGCCAGCGTGAGCAGCCGTCCAGAAGCTGGCGACTGATCTGCCTCGCCCGGGAAGAGCGCAATGATGGTGCCAACTTGGGCCAGTGAAGCAATGTCCTCCACAACTAGACTGAANTGCCCTCCACAGCTAAGATGCTGAACAACAGCTCAACCTGGAGCTGGGCTGCCGTGACGTAGGCTGTAGCCCTTGCTGCAGTGGGTTGCCATGGGCTACCGTATGTAGCCAGCAGCCAGCGTGAGCAGCCAGCAGCCAGCGTGAGCGGCCAGCAGCCAGTGAAGCAATGTCCTCCACAACTAGACTGAAGAACAAAAGGACAGCAACTTGTCTGTTCCCCTTCCCCCAATTCCCAATAAAAATCTTTAAAAAAAAAATCCTCACAATTAATTCCCAGCTGGTCCCACAGTCCCACAGGGGGTATGGGAGAACATACTTTAGGGACTGAAACAATCATTTTTCCTTCCAAAAGAGCTCATGTATTTGGAGCCTTTGTTCTATAATTATTTGCAATGACCTGCGTTTACAAAGGGCAGATGGAACTTGCAAACTTAAACATCTAATGTCAGAGTTTAAATTCAGTGGACATTTGGGGTTGGAAGTACGTGAAGCAAACATTTCCTCTTCCACTTCCCGACAGCACTGTAACAAATCTTAATGTCGACATTAAAAGCATTAATGGTGGAAATAACTGTTCTTTGCAAATAAATAACCAGAAATTTTAACTAAGATTTATATGAGTAAGTAATTTGGGGGACCAGGACAAAAATATATATAAAGTTTTATATATATATATATATATTTGTTTCAAACACATTTTATCTTTTATTTAAAAGGTATGATTATTCAGATGAAATACATGACCATGTCTGCATTACTGTTAATAACCTAATTGATACTCTCTCCCAGTCTTCGTCTCATGAATGCTCTCTTCCCCATACACCCCTCCTTTCACCCCTCCCCCCAGGAGCACTGCCTGGTCTCCCTGCTGGGAGCTCCGTCCAACCTGGGAGCCCAGCAATTTGGGAACAAAGTGCTTAGTGCCCAGCAGTGTCCCAGCCTCATCTCTGGCCTCATGGTACCCGGTCTGTTCTCTGCTCCCCAACACCTGGCGCTTTTCCCTCCCTGGGATCCCCTCCTCCTCTCCAAGTCTTGTCCATCTTCCAGGAAGCTCTCCTAGTTCATGCGAACAAATATGAGCCTGGGACTCAGAAAATCCCAATGCCCAAAGTCTACTGGGAAAACTCTCTTTTCTTTATTCAAAGCATTTACTATTCACAGCCCATGCTTTGAAACACAAGCAGCACTGACTTCCACCTTTGGTAACCAGGCACAACAGCCAATGCTTCAAGACAACGGTTCTTGAACTTTTGGCCTTAGGACCCCTTACTCTCTTAAAAATTAACACCCCAGCCAGCTTTTGTTTATGGGGTGGTATCTATTAATATTGACTGTATTAGAAATCAAAACCGAGAAATTAAAAAATATGAAAAACACCGATTCATTTAAAAATAACAAAGCAACTCCATGTTACCATATTTCTGTAAATACATTATTATCTATTTTTCAAAACAAAAACATTTCTATCTGGCCCCACAGGTAAGGCTACCAGTTACAATATAGGCTGCGCTATTTGGAACATACTTCTTTACAAAGGAATTTGTTGTTTATCTGAAATTCAAATTTAACTGGTCGTCCCGTATGTTTATTTCTACGACTGGCAACCTTAGGGAAAGGAGACAGCCTGGGTGGTCAGCCCTGCTGGGGGCTGGGGTGTGTGGCTATGGTGGAGGCGGGGGAAGAAAAGCTACTCTCACAGATACGCGGCTGGAAAGGGAGCAGGGTTTTAATAGCTCTTTCAACGAACGTGGACACTCTTCTCTGGTATCACACCAACACTCAACAAGTGGTGAAAATGTGGCACCTGAAGCCACGCCAGTGATCTCTGTGCTCTGCTACGTTAAAATCCGTTGATCTATTTTGTACTTTGAATGGCTCTTTTACCCCTGCATGACTTTCTAAAATAATGGATTGGTCATTTGGAAAATAGTTTGCTGAATTACGGAAAGCTTCTGCATGTGGACACATTTCATTCTACTATATAAAAACTGCAAAACAAACAAAAACAAACAAACAAAAAACACCCCAAAACAACATCAAAAAACTGCTTTCTTCAAGTCACCCCAATCTCATTAGAAAAGTCTTTTAAGTATTAGAACGATGTCAAGCTCATGGCAGTGGATATGTTTTCCAAAATTCTAATGTCCTCTTGAAAGCTGAAAGCTGTCTCCCTGGCAACACATGTTTTCCTTAAAGTGATGAGTTCACTTTATTTACTTTGAAGAAAAAAGGTCCTGGGTACTGCCAGATGTCCCAAAACGGAATAAGCAGAGTGTGTCACTTTTCTTTCAAGTAAAAATAGTGGTTCATGAAAAAGTGGCTAGTTGAGCAGGCAGCTCAAACAACCCCACAGGCGGTTTTCTCCCAACAACCATCCCGCCTCAGAAGACAGCGGAGGTGCTTTACACCAACTTCCCAGAATACAGAAAAGGCGGGCACTCAGGGTCAAGATGAATAAAGTTAATAACTTTTCCTGCTCATCAAGGGCTTCCTTAAGTAAAACTGCCATTTGTTTCTGCGGCCAGTGCACGTAGCTGACGAGCACAGTGGTGACCAGTCTGGCTTGGGGTCACTGCTTTGATGTGTATGAAGGCACGTCCATTGCTTCTGCAGCACCAGTGCCAATGTCAACACAGCAAAAAGGCACATAACGAGTTGGCATTCATTCATTAATGGAGGACAATAATGTTGATCTTATGGCCCTGGCTGGTTTCGGGGATTTCTAGGGGTGTATGAGCCATGCTTTAAGAACTGTTGCTTTAATTTATTGGCTCATGGCTGCCTTCTGGCTACTCTGCACAGTTTCTTTTCTTAAAGCATGACGTAGTTCAATATTCAAAGGGACAGACAATCCCACTCCAGCCCTCCCTTCTTCCATATCCCACTGCCTCCCGCCACCGCCCCACGTTGACCGAAACACAGTACCTGTTTGCAGGCATAGCTGCAGTATTGGCACTTGAACTTTTTCTCGTCCTTATGTGTTTTCTGGTGCTGAATGAGGTCATAGCGTTCGTGGAAGACAGCGGAACAGTAGCGGCAGGGCATCCCCGTATCTTTGAAAGCATGCAGGTTGCGCAAATGGATTCCTAAAATAAGTACGGAACATTGTACACGGGAAGAGTACTATTTTCTGTTAGGCTGATCTGCCCCCTACCCTCTAAACCAGGGCTTCTCAGTCTCAGCACTACCAGCATCTGGAGCTGGCTGGTTCCTTCTTGGGTGGACCGTCCTGGGCCCTGGAGGGTGTTTAGCAGCATTCCTGGCCTCTACCCACTAGATGCCAGTAGCATCCTTTCTTCCCTGCTTGTCACAACCAAATGCTGCGAAACTGCACTTACGCAACCCAACCACCAGATGGCACCCCAGGACTTCCAAAAGGAAACTTCCGGGCTGCCTCCCCGAGTCAGGCCCAAGGCTCCAGAAGGTCCCCTGGGGCAGGAAGTTGATTAACACCAACACTCACGCAGGTCAGTCTTCCTTTTAATGGTGGCGGTGCAGTGTGGACACTGGTACTTGGGGACATTCTCGCTGTGCTTCTGTAGAATGTGTGTTTTCATGGTGCCACTCTGGGTGAAGCGCGCATGGCAGACGTGGCATTCGTAGGGCTTCTCACCTGTGACACGGTGACAAAGATGACGCTCTGCGGAGTGGCTTCCTTCACCCCACAGGCCCTGATCCTCACCAAAGGACACTGGGAGCTGGAAGCTTGTCTTTTGTTCCCTGAGCTCTGTCTTCAACCCCTTTCTCACATGTTTACCCCCAATGAGTATAAAATTCCTAAATCAAGCCCAGACAACGTTCCATCACGTACAGCTGTGGACAACGGTCCGATGGGTGGCTCTCGTACTATCTGGTGGCTTCTCCATTAGACAGATACCTGTAATAGGCCCTATCCTTGGTTTAAAGACCTGAGAAATACACGTAAACATATTCTTTATACAACATAATATAAAGGATAAGTGCCACTATGAAACCAGTACACTCTGCTGCTTGCGTTGCCTTCAAGTTGAAGGGTGAATTGAGGAGTCCACTTTTAAATCCTAAAAAAACCTAAGGAAGCAAATCCTTGATGGCGTCTTCCTCGTCACAGTGCGGTGACAGCACAGTGGGTATGTGGGTTCCCTGGAGACTCAATAAACACGAAGGTGCAGACCAGAATCTCCATGCCAAAAAGGCACGGAGCAGGTCACTGGGACACTTGAGCTTTAATTTGGCCACTAAACAGTAACTTTTTCCAAGCTCACTTTTGAGAAGGAAACTGCGCGCTTGGCCTTCAGCTTGAGGGACTTTTACCTGAGTGTGTCCTCATGTGTCGCTTCAGTTTGTAGGTGTCTTTGCTGGCATAGCTGCACAGGCAGCACTGAAAGGGACGCTCGCCCGTGTGCGATCGCATGTGACGCTTCAGCTTACTCGCCTGAAAAAGACACGGAAGGTACTGATCGCGCGAGACACCTAAAAGCTGCCGGTCCACTTAACCGGCACTGTGAAGAGGTGTGATAGTTACGTGAGGCCGATTTTAATGCCACACATTTCCCACGCTGAGAAAACATGAGAAAGGCATTTCTTTTTATTTCCTGTCACGGATGCTGTTTTTCATTTTGATGTGTGTGCATAAGATCCTTCGAGAATAATCAGCAGTAGTTTCAAGAGACTCTCACATTCAACTTCTCTTTACACAGAGAAAACGGAAGTCTCGAAGCTCAGCGCCACACATCACTTTATTTTCATTTCTAAGGCGCCTGACGCTCAACGGCTGTGACGCTCAGGCCATGCGCAGAAGCACATTTTAGAAGCCGGGACATTTCTGTTTGCATAAACAGAATGAGACTCTTGAAACATTACCTTTTTAATCGCCAACACCCATCGGATGCCCTTGAGAGTTGCAAGTTCTCTGGGCCTTGGTGGTACGCGAATGGAGGAAGGCCTTACTTGCTATGAAGACAAGATTCTGTGTGTTCCTAGTTTCTTCATAGTAAGTAACTTTTAAGTAGAAGAGCAGAAATTCTAATTTAATTACATATCCCAGACAATTAGTTAAAAGGGAAACAACATATTACCTCCCATTTGAGCATTTTTTTTTTGCCTGACTGTTGTGCTGCCTTCCAGAGCTGTCCTGCAGGCCCTTCTCCATCTCCCCTTAGCAGAACAGAGGGCTTCCCCACACTCAGGCTACAGATGTTAGAGAGCCCGCCCACAGCAGCCCGGCCTGTGGTCTCAGGGTGGCTACACTTGGTCTGGTTCCCCAGTATGTGACACGCACACAAACCCGAAGAACATTCAGGAACAAAAGGCTCAGAAGGGAAACCAAGATCCAAGCGAAAAAATTTAGATTTTTCCAAGAAAAGTGGATGTCTTCAAGTAGGTCAGAGAGCAAAAGAAAAATAATTTTTAAAATTATAATAGCATGAAAGGTTTGATGAGTGATAAGAAGGCCGTGTGTGAACCTGCCCTGGGTGGCTTTGCAAGGGAGCATGAGGGGCGGAGGGGGGGTTCTAAAGTTTTCACAAGCCTGTGTTATCTATACCACAGCTCCAATGCATTCCTGCTGGCGTATGTGTAGAGAAATGGCGTGGGGGTGCGGGGAACTTAGGCTGCCCCCCTTTAAAGCAGACCAGCATGGCAACACTTGGAAACTGCAGAAAGGGGGGTGTTCATGGCAGCTGTGGAGGGTCCGTATGCTGAGGTCGACCAGTCCACAGGCTGCATGCAGACTGCTGACCCTGGAGGAGGGTCTCAGTGGACCTCGGAAGTTTGTTCTACAAACCAGCAGGACGCCAACAAAAAGTCCACGCCAGGCTTAGGAGTCTCAGATGGCTTTGCCCCTTGAAACCTTCGTTTCGTGTTTTCAAACTACAGTCCCAACCTTTAACTCAGATGAGAAATACTTTTTAAAAATAGTTAAGAGCAGAAAAAAGCTTCTTGGAATCAGATTCTAACCCTGTCTGGGCAATTTCCTCATTTATGAAATTGCATCATTACTGTATTTAAACTTTCGTCGTGTGCCCTTTAACTTAGTTCTGCTTAAGTGCATTATCTTTTCCCAACTGGGCTCAAAATCAGGGCCCAGCAAGCATCCTGACAGACAGTGGGGTCCTCAAAAATTCACTGTAGAAACTACACTAACCGTGTAGTGTTAGAAAAACACTAACCGTGATTGTAGGGTTCTGTCGTTTCATTCAAAGAGCCGCTAAAGCTGCTCGAGGTTATGAAGAAAACAGTCTAGTGGAAATGCCCAGGACACATACGTGAACTCTACAAAAGGGTGGCTTCTCGGTCATAAGCGTGGAAATGACTATGCCAAAATCTTCAGGTTGCTTTGTATCTGACTGAATGCCACTGAGCTAAGCTCAGAAAATGTCAGCGGCGATTCAGGCTGGGTCTGTGTTCCATGCTGGCGCAAATACATTTTGATTCTGTGGAACGGAGCACCACATAAAAGGCTAGGTAGAACTCTGAACCCAATTTGAGAATGATTTCTCAAGTACCACACGTGGTTTCATTTGTAATTTGTACACCCTTCTCTACTGCTTTCACTAGCCGATAATCAAAGGAAAAAAAAATCCAATTTTCTATTTTCAATTTAGAGAACAGAATGAGACTTATTTCCTGCATAGATTTTTGTATGAATAACATCTTTAATGAAAACCTATCTAGTAAGAGATACTGCTGTGATTTTGACTTCACATAAACTTTCACTGCCATTTCTTAGTAAGACGCCACCGAGCTTTACCAATGAGAGCTGAACTCACCTCCACGCTGGCATACTTGCACATGGAACATTTAAAGGGTTTCTCGTGAGTGTGTTTATAACGTCTGTGTCGGACAAGCTCTCCACTGGTGACAAACGCCATGTCACAGTCGCCACACTTGTAGGGCCTGGTTCCTGTAAAATCACATTGTTTAACCTTTTAAACAAGATCTAACTACACATTTCCCTAAAAACTTACAACTTCATACATTACACTCAGCCTCAAAATGTCTTAAAAATTGAACAGGAGGCTCTTTAAACCATAAATAACCCCAGATAAACGTTGAGACAAATCTTTGTAACGTTCAATGTTTTTAACTGAAGTGGAAGAAAACAAGACAAAACTAAAGGCTAAAACAGTAACACAGAAGTAGCAGGATTCACATTCTTAAAACCTGGACACACATCATTCAAGGAAAACCCCGCTTGCAGCAGTTTTACCTGTGTGGGTGTTGATGTGGTTCCTGAGAAGAGTAACAGTACGGAAAATTTTCAGACAAAGGTGACACATGTGGGACTTTTCAGTGCTGTGTGTTTTTATATGACGATTTAAACTTGAAACTCTGGAAGAGGTGAACTTGCAGATATCACAGTGGAAGCTGCGTTTTCCTGCAGGAAGGAGATAGAGTTTATCCATTGGTAAGAACCTTCCTTTAAATGTTCAAATTCCAGTTGGGGGGGTGATGAAAACCTTCTGGAATTAGAGAATGGTAACGGTTGCACAAACTTGTGAATATATTAAAAACCTGGAAATGAGCTAGGAATTGGGAATTTGGGGGTACGAGCTCTCGTTTTAAATATCTGAGAAACTGCTGTGTAGCAAGGGTGCACACTCAACTACCTATTGTAGCCAGAGGCAATAACCCTGAATGAATGGCTTTGACCACATGTAAGAAGAATGGACAGTGGTGGCAATGTGACTTTCTAAACTGAGTCACTTCCCAGCCCTGGCCACAGAGCCGAGTGTTGCCAGATGTGGCTTTTTAAAAATGAGCTACGTCCAGAAGCCGGCGACTGATCTGTCTCACCCGGGAAGAGTGCAATGATGGTACCAACTTGGGCCAGTGAAGCAACGTCCTCCACAACTAGACTGAAGAACAAAACAACAGCAACTTGTCTGTTCCCCTTCCCCCAATTCCCCAGCACTGTTCCCACCCCCCAATTCCCCAATAAAAATCTTTAAAAAAATAAATAAATAAAATAAAAATGAGCTAGATATTGAGATGGAAGTGTGTGTATGTGTGAACTGTCTTGATTCAAATAAGTGAGAAACTTTTTTTTTTTTTTAAGCCGAACAAATAATTTTGAGGGTCAAATTCATCTCGTGGGCTGCCAACATCTCATCTCAGTTTTAGCATGGCTTTAAAATAACTTCAAGGTCCTTCTTTAATCTGGCCTAATGTCCCTCTTTGAGCACCCATCCGTGTGGCTGTCCCAGCACAGCAGAGCTGTCACCCTCCTCAGGAAGCTACACCCACAGGCCACTTCCTGCTGCCTGGAATGCTGGGCCCCCTCTTACTGGCTTCTGAGTCCGATTTCCTGGCATCACCTACACTTCCCTTCCTTCTTGCCCTGAAGCATTTGCTCTTGTCTCCATTCTCCCAAACCCCAAATAAATGGGGCTGCAAAGTGGGAAGGTCAGGGCCAAACCTTCTATTTACAAGCACAGTGCTTTGCAGGAGCATTTTTACTGTGTCTTTAACACATTTGTGTGCAAAATGCAAAACTCTTTTGGATTTGATTCACAACACAGAACAACACAAAAAATATGTCTCCCGTGTCCTGATATTTCGAAAGCAACTAAAAGCCGATCACTTAAAATTGTAGTGACCATCTCCTGCCCTTAAACAGAAACGGCAGCCCCGTTTTTGTGCAGGGTGTCTCACACAAATTGAACTGGCCTACCCTGGGTCTTATTTTGAATTTTTGCAGAGTTGTCTTTTTCAACGTGTGGTTGACTGGATGCAGGTTTGTCTCCTGGTTCTTCAATGTTTAAGTTTGAAATTGTCAGGACAATTTCATTTCTTCCTTCATCTCCCAGCCTCGCTTCCACTAGGAAGAATTGCTTTTCATCATCTCGTCCTTCAGCCACCGGCTCCGGCTGGTCCTCCTTCTGGCCTTTCTCAAACTAATAAACAAAAGTAAGTATTCAAACAAACACAATGCTACGAATTACAATCCAATTCTACTCTTTGCCTGGATGAAACTGAGGAACACAGAAAGAACAAACAAAATTAAAGTAGCACAGAAGAGTGTCCATTGCAACCAATACGCATAAGCCACAATATTAAGCATCAAAGGTTTTGGTGGTGAAAAACACTATTTAAAAAAACAACAACCCACAATTCACCTTACAGTATGTATTCTAATTAGCATAACTTGTTAAAACTCTTAAAGAAAGAACATGAGGTCCCCCAGGATTTTCCTGGGAATTATTTTGACTGTGTTTTAACTTTAAACTGCTTGTCCATACATTATATCGCATCAAGGGCAACTTAAAAGAAAAATCATTCTCCCCCCACCCCCACCCCGGTGTAAAGGGTCCAATTTTAAAAACCAGCAGTACCTTCATCAATGCCATGCCTTCATCCGGGCTCGCTGCAGATTTACCATCCTCACCGGCCACGGCCACGTGCTCCTCCAGGACAGGAAACTGCATCAGCTCCATCTCTTGCAGCAAGTACACCTCGTCCTGGAGGTTCACGGCCACGCACTGGTGCAGGCTCTGCTGGGAACCGTCCTCAAGCCACAGCAGCGACTGCTGCCCACTGTCGGCCAGCGGCACCACGGCCTGCGGCACCACGGCCTGCACCCCTTCTTGGTGCCATCTGACCTCCTGCAGTCCCACGTCCTCGGAACTGAGGGGCACCGTCTGCAGGGTCAGCAAGTGCTTCTCACTGTCCTCCACGGTGACCGGCTCCGGCCCCTGCCCTCCCTCTGGGATCCCAGTCTGGAGGGCCCCCTGGGTGCTCTCGGCCTCCACCTCTCCAGGGCAAGGGTGCTCCTTCACTCTGCACACTCCATCCTGTTCCTCCTCTTCCTCCTTCTCAGGGGCTTTTTCTGGCATCAACTCCAGTTCTTTGATTTGGGTAAACTGCTCCAAAGGATCAGAGACCTCAGTCTCTGCCATTCTGACTTGGCCTGTTTGAGAAAGAAGTAAGCGGTCTCCATAGGGCACTGTTGGGTTTGGGCCTACCAGGCTTTGGGGTTGATTGAGGTCTGACCAGATTCTGGCCTCAGAAGGCTTTAGGCCTCATAGAGGTCAAGGCTAAGCTGACTCACTGGGAGGGGCTGAGCCTAAGCTAAAGCAGGTGGTTGTTCAAAAGATTCTGAAACCAACAGATTTGGGTCTGGGCATGGTCTCCTAACATGCACAATCTAGGCCTGGAAGGTTTGGGCCTGAGCAGGCTTTCAGCAAATGCACGGTCGGCCTAGCAAGGTGGGGCCCGAGCAAGCTTTCCACTGTTGCACAATTCCAGATTGAACACCGTTTGAGCTACTCAGGCTTTGGATCTAGAGCCTTGAGCCCAGAAACACTCGGCCGAGCAAGTCGCAGGCCGGGCACGTGCACCTTTCAGAATTGGGGCGAACCCCACTCCCAGCCCCTCCCTGGCCCGGCCCCTCCATGTAGCCAATTCGGCCTTTCCTGCCAGCCCACCACCCACGCAGCCTGTGCACTGCAGGGGGCCGGAGTCTTGACCCATAGAGCGCCCTTCACCTGGGAGGCGTGGCCTTGGTGCCTGACCCACCCCGTCTTGGTGGATTCGGTCTCTAGCTGCGTGTGCTGCAGGACACTGCTCGCCAGCAACCCCCTGCGCACGAAGCTCCAGGACGGCTCTGCGCACGAAGCTCCAGGACGGCTCTGCGCAGGCGCAGGGCGGAAAAAGGGGGGGAGGGGTGGCGTGCAATGGGCGGAGCCGGGTGGGGGAGGGGCGACAGACAATGGGGGATGTACTTTCTGGGAGCACTGAGCCCTGGGGGTGGGGAATGGGTGAGGAGGGGCAGCAGAGGAGGACCACCCGAGGACACTGAGAAACTTGGGGGGGGAATGGACGAAGTCGCGAGCGGAGGGGGCGACCTGCAGGGGGCGCTGAGAAACCTGGGGGCGGGATGGATGCGGTCGCGAGCGGAGGGGGGGACCTGCAGGGGGCGCTGAGAAACCTGGGGGCAGAAAGATGAGGATGGAAGGGTACAGGGAAGGAGGGACCTTCAGGGGGCGCCCCCAGAGACTTGGGATGGGAAGAGGGGCAAGGTGAGGGAGTGAAGGGCGGAGCACTAAAAGGAGTTTGGAACTATGGGGCGGGGTGGATGGATAGGACAAGTGGATGGACAGGTGGGCGTGGATGGGCAGTGGAAGTGGGAGAAGGAAATCTGTAGGAAGCTCCAGAGGCCTGAGCAGGAGATGGGGAGAGGGGGGCGGGTGGGGGAGACAGGGAGGGAACCCAAGAAATGGGTGGGGGAGAATGGAAGTCAGTGGAATAAAAGAAGTTGAGGGGTAGAAAAGAACGCGTTGTGGAGGAGATCCGGGGAAGCAAGGAGGAGGAATGGGGTGTGGGGCTGCCCAGCAGAGAAGGGGTGGAAGAGATGGAAGCAGAGAGGGACAAGGAAGGAAGGCCTGAGGCAGACGGTGAGAGGGGCTGGACCCCCTATTGCTTTAAGTCTTTCCCAGCTCATTAGACTTGATAGAATTCTTTCCAGGATGCGTCTAAGAGAGGTGGGATGGTGAGGGAAAGTGAAGAAGCCCGCAAGTGGCGTGCACGCGGAGACTGAAAAACTCAAAGGTGCCACAGGCTGTGAAAGAAAGCACTACATGCCGCTGAACTGCTCACGTTAACGGGGTTACTCCCCTGTTGTGTGAACTTCACCTTAAATTCTTTTTAATGGAGATTAATAATTCTGTTGGTCTCCAGCGACGTGTGGTTCGTTTCTCAAGCTAGGTACAAAATAAGTACAAGTTCGGAGCCAATGAAGGATTAAAATCGCTTGCAGTGCGCTGATATATATTTTTTTAAGATTTTTATTGGGTAATTGGGGGATGGGAACAGAGCTGGGGAATTGGGGGAAGGGGAACAGACAAGTTGCTGTCCTTTTGTTCTTCAGTCTAGTTGTGGAGGACGTCGCTTCACT